TGTTGTTAGTTGCAAAGTCATGTCCGACCCATCACGACCCCATGGACTACGTTCTTCCAGGCCTTCCTGTCCTCTATCATCCCCCAGAGTCCATTTAAACTCATGCCAACTGCTTCAGTGACTCCATCCAGCCACCTCATTCCCTGCCGTCCCCTTCTTCTTTTGCCCTCAATCTTTCCCAGCATTAGGCTCTTCTCCAGTGAGTCCTTCCTTCTCGTTAGGTGGCCAAAGGATTTGAGTTTCATCTTCAGGATCTGGCCTTCTAAAGAGCAGTCAGGGTTGATCTTCTCTAGGACTGACCGGTTGGATCGCCTTGCAGTCCAAGGGACTTGCAGGAGTCTTCTCCAGCACCAGAGTTCAAAGGCCTCAATGCTTTGATGCTCAGCCTTCCTTATGGGCCAACTTTCACAGCATTTCACAAGATGCATGGATCAGTATAAATCCAGCCAATGCCATGCTAGATCTACTAGAGATTATTCTGTTCTAATTCCTTAATTAACAATTTAAACAAAAACCAAGCAGGAAATTTGTGCTTTTACTTTATAAATTATGGACATAACGTCCTTTCTTGTTAAACTAGTGTCAGCGTATATTTTCCCTCTGTCTCTATCTTTACATGGTGCAAAACAGATGTCTGTTCTTTGGATTAGCACTTAATGAGAAAATGTTTTTAATTCTCCTAAGCTTGGATGTTTTATATTATTGTTTGTCTGTCCCCACAGACACAATTTTGGCAAAGAAGAACGCATAAGCATAAAAAAATGAATGTGTTCGTTTTCCTGTGAAATCTTCTCAATGCATTTTTCTTATACATCTTCTCCTTACATTCGCTATATTTAAATGCAAGGAAGCAGTAACCTTTATTTTTAAAATGCAATTTCAGAAAATGTTCTCAGAAGAGAAGATCCTTTTTGCAAAGCATGGCATTTTAGTTCAGACCGTTTTTTCCACTTTTTTTCCATACAGTCTACTTCAACTAATAAAAGAGTAACAGCAATAGCAATATCATTTAGACTTATATACCGCTTCACAGTGCTTTACAGCCCTCCCTAAGCGGTTTACAGAGTCAGCCTATTGCCCCCAACTATCTGGCTCCTCATTTTACCCACCTCGGAAGGATGGAAGGCTGAGTCAACCTTGAGCCTGGTGAGATTCGAACTGCCAAATTGCACGCAGCTGGCAGTCAGCAGAAGTAGCCTGTAGTACTGCACTTTAACCACTGTACCACCATGGCTCTTAATCAAGAGTAGTAAAGAGTAATCAAAGTAAGTAAGACAGGGCTGTATCAAAATGAAACCATAATCAAAGAAACTTTTGTTAAGAAACCCTAACACAGAAAAGGATGTAACAAGCTCCCTCAAAAAACACACAATCCATAAGTCTGAACCTTAATAGTTGTATCTCTACTAGATCCCCATTATAGGGTCATGTAGAGTAGACTAGATCCAGAAGATCACATTAGAGTCTTTAATACCGTTGTTAAACCAGTATTACTGGACAAGAGTCATTAGAGGGCTGGGTCTGCCATCCCTCTTCTCTATACACCTTGAATATCCCCAAGCCAACTAATACCAGATTATAAGGAGTTTTGGCTTTTAGATGTTACTTATTTAATCATTATATCTATATACCTACGTATCTATATCCACCTCCACACACAGGATTCAAGGTGGGGGGTGTATTACCTACAATAAAACAACAATTTTATAGAAATGGATAAAACAACAAGCCATTAGCCACTCAAAACAATAACATGATCTTAAAAAAATAATAACCAACATGCTTAGACAAATAAAATTGTTTCCAGGGAACAATTGGACAGAATGTGTTGTACATAAGTTTGTCTTTGATCCCCATCAGAATTACTTGTGAAAGCTGTGTAGTTGGAAAAGGTGTGGATACTTTCCTGTGTGGCACAATTCACTGGTCAATCTGTTCCTGTTTAAAACAAACAACCGACCAAACAACCAACCAAACAAAAACTCAATTTGTCTTGATTTTTCAAGGAGCATCCATTACAATGACTTGCTCAATTACAGTCTCTATTTACTTGGAAGAAAGCACTTGGAAAATACAGTTGTTCTGACCGAGGCTTCCTTAGAAAGTATAAAGCACAATCTTAGTTCCACAAAACCTCGTTTATTTCATTTACAGTCCGCAAGTCTTGATAAACAGAGGAAGGTTATCAACACCCACCTATCTCACATGGAACGCTGCCAGAGAGCTAATTTCCAGACGCAGGGCAAGGCCAAACTTGGCACAGAGTCACTTGCAAATCTTGAATCGGCCAAATGAACTAATTGCTTCCTGCAAAACCTCATGTCCCATTCGCTCTTCTTTTATGTCTTATGGGAGGGGCCAATCATCTCCAAGCCTTTCTCCCAAGTTGACCCTGTTTTCTTCATTGTTCTTGTCATCTGGCAGCTCTGAGCATGCGCACACTGGCTCCCGCTGTTCGGCCCACCGGGTGCTTAGATCTGGCCCATGAGACTGCCCTGGAAACAGCAAAGGATTGGCCCGCAGTGCCTCTGCCAGCGAAAACGGAGCTTGGGAGGGCAGCATTTCACTGGCAGAGGGTTGTGGGAGGCTGTCGCAGCTAAAAATGGAGATCGGGAGCTCGTTTTTGCTGCTCAGGCCATCACAGGTGCCTCCGACATGAGTGATGTCAAGCTGGCCACACCCACCCTGGCCATGCCCATCCCCCCAAACACAACCCTGAAATTGAGTTTGACACCCCAGCTCAAGTCTATACACAAGAATCTAGTCAACTAACGTTCAATACTAAACTGGCACTAGAGAAGGGTCAATGGAATTCAAGAGGGAGTTGCGCCAGTTGTGGCAATGTAATGACTCTAGGCTGATGACTCGCTTAACTCCTCCCACCCAGCCTTGCTTGCTCTTCTCCTACAACAACTTATTAAAACCCAATGTAACTTGCACAATACTCTCTTGACTAAGGCTTCTTTTTATCAGTGTTATCAATGGCTTGATCATCTTTTAAGATTTCCCTTTAGCTTATCTATTGCCATCCTTTTTTCCAGTCATTTGGGAAGGCTGGACGTTTAAATTAATGAATAAGCTGACTTTCTCCAAATATTCAAAAGACGATGGCTATTCTACCACATGGTGCTCTTGTGAATGGCAGATGATGTCGACAGATGGCCAGGCCCACGGATTTAATCATCCATGGAAACACACTTGAGTTTTCTTCCCCACTTTACTTGCGCAAAGCCAATCAACTCAGCTCCCCACCCCCACCCCCGTTTGCTCACAACCTCCTGGGGATGGCAACCCATAATTGGAGAACAGCAGTGATCCAAACTGTATTTAAGAATAGTGGAGAAAATATGCTCAGATGAGCCCCCATGAAGGTTATTGCATCTTGAACAAGCTTCCTGCTGAGAAAACTATGTGTATGTATTAGGAGGGGGGAGAAGCTCCTTTCTTGCAATGTATTTTTTAAAAACATTTGGTTTTATCCAAAAAAACCCAAAACCCTGTTTTATGTGAACTGTGTAAGGCTGCTGTCATTTGAGCCCCATGTCTAATTTTTTTGTGTGTGTATATATGTGTGTGTATCGAAAAACACTTAATCTCTCCCCTGGCTCAAGCTGATGAAGGGAGGAGAACTTGTGGCTCAGAGGTTAATACAACTGTCTAACGTGCAGGCAGCCCAAGTTTGAATCCAAGTAAGGGTATGGCTAGCTGATGAGAGCTAAATAGCTTGAAATAGATCTATACTAGTCTCCCTTTATTTCTTTATCAGCGAAATATAAATTTGGTATAAAATGGTTTGTCATGAATGCGACTGCATATATATATATGCAAGTTTTCTATCAAAGCAACCTGGGTTTGTCAGTAAATACACAAACACACACACACCGTGTTTTCCTGAAAATAAGACCCTGTCTTATATTTTTTTGAACCCCGAATTTTTGAGGAGGTCTTATTATTTTGGGGCACGTGGAGCAAGACAGGACTCCTCTTGCCATCTTACCTGACTTCCAGCTCTGTCTCCCTAACCCTAACTAGAGGAAATGGCGGGGACCAGCTGCGCATGCGTTTAAATATTTTTGGGAGGGCTTATTTTCAGGGGAGGGCTTATTATTCAGGGAGGGCTGATTTTATATATATACGATTTATCCCTTTCATCATGTATTGTCTTCATAATCTGGCCTCTGCTTAATAGCAGAAACTCCTTTATTCAAACCCTGTCATGCCACAGCATATAACTTTTATATACTATTGTTGCTCTCTAGCCCCATCCAGTGGCCGGAGGGACAAATATACCCCAACATACGATCTTTATATTACTGTTGTTGCTCTCTAGCCCCATCTAATGGCTAGAGAGACAAATACAAAGTATATTTTTTGAAGCTGACCCCACGTCTTTACCCATCAGCCTGCACTCTCAAAACAAGTGCACGCTGGGAAGCCAGAGTCCATTTCCTATAACATTTGGAGAAGGCAGAAGCAGAAAGAAGAATCCATCTTAATCTGTGGAACATGATCATCCAAGGACAAACCCACATCCCAGACACAGAGAATTGCTGGTGAGATTTAGATTGCTTGTTAGATTGTTATGTTCAACAGTAACTCAATACTGTCTGTCTTGTATTTGGTTCTCATTGTATGTATCCCTATTTTCCCCAGTTTCACCATATCCTGTTCTTTCAATAAAGCATTCAGATCTATGCACACAGTCTGTTTTATTGGAGGATATGTAGGTTTAGCTGCATGTCGAGCTGCACACAGTCTAATGTGTAGTGAGGACAGAACTATCCCATTACAGCTACAGTTGATTAGCAGCCTAGAATGTAGACGGCCAACAGGCAGCCTCTATGCCTTCACTTAAGCCATGAGGATCTCTCTACCAAAGTGCCTTCATTGCTTTGTTGTTTGCCATATTTCACCCACCTCTGTCTCAAGCAACTGAAAACTTTTCCAAAAAGTAACCATGGGACATGAAGGGGTAAGGGGGGAGGACCCAATCTACTTACATGTAATGTAAGTGAGGATTCTTATCAAACGCTCGCGGCTGGATGCTTCGGAGCCCTGAGTTCGTGATTGTCCTGCAAAGAGATGCAAAAAGACAGTAAAAGCAACCCATAAAGAAAGAAGCAGTGAAAGTCACGCATTCAGAGATCTCACGTAATATTGAATCAGAACAGATAATTGGAAGACTATCCTGCCAGCCTGAATCTAGAGACCTTTAAAACATCCCCCTTCATTGGGGAACGAATCTGTCAAGATCGTTTTTTCTCAGTACTGGGGCAGCCAAATATGTCAACTACAATTATTTGAACTTCAGTTTCTTTTTTGAATAACTTTTCGACTAAAATTCAAAAGCATTTAGTGCACATTTGTGCAAACGTGCCTCTCTCTTTTTTTGGCAATTCTGCCTAAGGTACACAGATTTTTAAAGCATTTTCCTTAATGTAATACACTTTTATGAATGTCTGTCTGCCTCTCTCTTTCTCTCTCTCTCTCTCCCTCTCTCCCTCCCTCCCTCTCTCTCTCTCTCATCTATCTCTCTCTATCTATCTATCTATCTATCTATCTATCTATCTATCTATCTATCTTCTATCTATCTCTGTATCTCTCTCTCATCTCTCTCTCTATTATATCACACTATCATATCATATCTCTCTCTTTCTCCCTCCCTCCCTCCCTCTCTCTCTTTCTCTCTCTCTCTCTCCAGAGAGAGGAAAAGAAATCCCCTCAGAGGATAAGATGCAGCAGGAGGCTGTCCCATGATTAATTTAGCCTCAATGTGTGTCATTTCCACAATTCCAAATGTGGGGAGAATACCAGCCAATTTTGCATAGCTATTTTAAGGATTTCCAAGGCAAAATGTAGCATTTAGTCTGCCTACGGCATTAGTTCAATGCTTTTTGACAGCTTTAGTCTCAAACAAATGAAGCATATATCAAAGTCAGATCATCAGCTCATTAACTCTCAGAATGCTCTACAACTTAAGTTGGTAAGATGGGATACCAACCAGATGTTGCTCAGTTACAACTCCCAGCATCCCTTGCCATTTGTCCTGCTTTGTATGGATCCTGGAAGTTTCTAGAACAGTGATATCTGCCATTTCATAAATTGACTATCTCTAGTCTGCACTAGATAGCAAACTAACCATATCTGCCTTAACTGGAGCTGCTACTAAGAATTAAACCAGAGAATGGATGAGTGGGAAAATGGAAACCATGTCGATTCTCTAAATTAAATCACATTTCTAAGCTACATTCAACAACTTGAGGTGAACTGTCAAATCAAACTGAAGACCTCTACATTTACGTTTAAACGATTTAAAATCTTCTCCTTTAATCAGTTTGGAAGTCTGAATTAGATTGATTCAAAGGGATGAGTCAAATTGGAGTCCAAAGCCAATCAATTTTCTGAATCAATGTGGAGGTCTGAATCGGATTATAGATCTAAATCAAATCCATGTTTCAGACTGGGGTTTGTTTGTTTCTTTTTGCCTGACTTCCATGTCTCTAGCAGGACTACTGTAAGGCCAAAGGAGCATTCTGTCATTGAGCGACAGCTGGTTCCCAAGCAACCAAAAATTGCAAGCAGTGACCGAACATCTTGATGGAAAATGAATATTAATCCGTGCCCAGCATCCAAGTACTACTTTCCATCTCCATCATTTTCTTATGGTTTATAGCAACTTACAACTTATCATTGAAAATGCATACATTATCTCTTTAGAGATACACACACAAACACTGTATATATACTGTACATATACCTATATATTCCGAAAGTCTAAAATCCTCGTGAACTGATTTCAGCAAATAAAATAAAAAAATAAAATATGCCCCCCCCTCCTTTTTTAAAAAGTACATGTTTATTTAAATGTTGCTGCTTCATTTATCCACTGGATTTCTACTTCCAATTAATAATACTAATATATAATAAAATACTTGCAACGAACAGGGAACTCCATATGGCCTACCTCTTTATAATTCATTAACTAGGCCATTAAAAATATGGAAAAGTAATCACAGCAACAACAATCCAATAAGAGCCCCAAATATGATAAAATTAACACTGTTATCAGCGAGTAAAACAACAACAACATCCAGTTAAAAGTCTAAATTGTGGCTTGCACACTCAAAGTAACAGTAACAGAGTTGGAAGGGACTTTGGAGGTCATCTAGTCCAACCCCCTGCTCACGCAGGAGATCTCTCACCTTCTTAAAGGTCTCATGCTCTACCAAACAAATTCATTCTCCTAGGCTGCCATTTTCAAAGGGAACTTTTCTGACAGAACGTCTCGTAAGACATAAATGTATTTCTGATTGTTCTAACACAATGAATATGCTTTGTAAGAGTCTCAGTTACTACGTTTTATCTTCTCTTCCTGTAAGGGAAGATTTCTATATCTATTCCTTTGATTTTTGTTTTAAAAAATCCTTCACTAGCAGAAACACAAGAGACACAGTCACCATTCCAGTACTAAATTTAGAGACATTTTGAGCAAGGCACTTTCCATGCACACACATGAATAAATTCCACAGAGGACATTTGCTTCTCGGGTATAAGTTTCAGAATAACGTAGCAAAATTGCTTTTTGTTGTTGTTGTTGTTGACTTGTGGGGAGATGCAGCTACCGTAGGATTTGCTTTCTTGATGGAAGGCGTTTCAACAAATTTAAATCCCTGAGAAACATTTAGAATTTCTCAGAGTAGGAACTTGAAATTGATAAACCTGAAATTGATAACAGGTTGAGTCACATCATCATGCTCAATATGGACATGGATTCCCAGCTATGTTTTATAGAAGGGCTCTCCATCCTTGGCAATTTGAAGACATGTGGAATTTCAACTCCCAGAAGCTGGCTGAGGAATTCAGTGGGTTGAAGTCCACATGTCTTAAAGTTGCCAAGTTTGGAGACCCCTGTTTTAGAGTGATTTATAAAGTTCCATATGCATTTCAGGGCAGGTGATTTGAAGGTAGGTTAACTAGTCAACGGTCCACCAAAACCCAATGAAACAAGCTGGTCTACAAGAAGCAAACAGTTCTGTCCAAGCACTCAAGTCTAAACCAAAATTACAAATTCTCCACAGAACGAATTATCAGAATTACCGGCTACATGAAATGAACTGAGATTCTAATTTCTTTGGTCATCTAATCCCAGCTGCAGTTAGGCTCGTTAATCTGTAGGCTCCACCTTCAGAGATTTGTCATGGATCTGCAGTTCCAGAACCAAATTTAATTGCTCACCTATTCAGGTTGGCTTATTTGGTGTGAGAAGATGCCACCTCAGCAAAAGCTCAACTCTCTTCGTGAAACCCACAATGCCACTTTATTTCAGAAAATGGCAGAAGGAGGCCAGAAGGTGGGTGAATGTTTTGCAATTCAGTGAACACTTCTAAATCCAAGTTTAACCGTGCATATTGAATGACAAGAATATTTGGTCTTAAGCCCAATGGGTATGTAAAATATTCCTACCAGAAACATACGTTACCTATGATTTCTGATGGTAGTGTAGAAGAGCAGACCTGGTCAAGCTTTGCTTGTTCTTTCAAACTGAGGCAAAGATACTCATTAAACAATACACAATACTCACAATCTCTGGAGTCCTGTGTACAGCTCCATGTCTACGGCATGCAAAGTCTGCAAATTCTTCCAATACTCTATGTATCTAGAGGGAGATAATGGGGTGGGGAAGAAAGGAGGTGACTTTAATACAGAAATACAGTGTATTAACTTTCAGAGGAACCATCTATGGAGATTCTCAACAACACAGGTCATGGTTGTCCCAAAGATGCTTTTTCAAGAGGCAACTGGGCTTTCTTGTTTTTCTCTGAAGATGTTTCACTTCTCATTCAAGAAGCTTCTTGAGCTGAAAAAGCTTCTTGGATGAGAAGCTAAATGCCTTCCAAGAAAAACAAGAAAGTCCAATTGCCTCTTGAAAAAAATTTCAGAGGAACCATTGACCATGCAATAGAACCAGGGGTGGGTTGCTGGGGCTTTGCAGGGGTTCGGGAGAACCTCTGGCTAAGATTCTGTGCAGTTCAGAGAGCCCCCAAATCCCACTCCTGGCTGGCCCCGCCCACCCCATCCCGCCCCTTCCAGGAGTCCCCACGTGGCCCATTTTGGATGCAGTAAGTGCAGGGCGCACACGGAGGCTCTGGTAGGGTGAAAAACAGGCCTACCAGAAGTTTGGGAAAGCTGGAAATGGGCCCGTTCCCAGCCTCCAGAGGGCCTCCGGAGTCTGGGGAGGCCGTTTTTGCCCTCCCAGAGGCTCAAGGAAAGCCTCTGGAGCCTGGGGAAGGCAAAAATGCCACCCCCATGGTGTAGGAGGCCAACTAGGCCACACCCACCATGGCCATGCCCACCCAGAACCGGGCAGAGAACCCCTTGCTAAAATTTTTGAAGCCCACCCCTGAGTAGAACCAGTGATGGAAAAAACACTGACAATCTCTGAAGTTGGTGGCTTTCATCAGGATTTCAACAGGCTCTTTACGATGCCAAATCCATGCACCATATAACTTTATGATACTTGGATCTGGTATAGGTGAGACGACTTTGGCAAGACAGTAAGCAAACCTTGATATGACATAAAATAACGATAGGAGACTTCCTAAGTAAAAAGAATTACCCAAATTATTATTTTTACTGATCATATTAAATGGATACAATTTTAAACCATTCAACATTGCTTTGCACGTAAACTAAGTACAGATAGGATTCCAGTATTTAGTCTATTAATTGTTGGGAGTAAACAGAGCAAAACATTTAGTGAAAAGAGTGCTTCCGATTAATTGATACATTCAGCAGATGTATTTCCTTCAATTACGTCCTACAGAATAGAATAGAACAGAATAGAATAGAATAGAATAGAATAGAATAGAATAGAATAGAATAAATAATAGAATAGAATAGAATAGAATAGAATAGAATAGAATAGAATAGAATAGAATAGAATAGAATAGAATAGAATAGAATAGAATTCTTTACTGACCAAGTGTGATTGGACACACAAGGAATTTGTCTTTGGTGCATATGGCCTCAGTGTACATAAGGAGAATAAAATACATTCATCAAGAATCATAAGATACAACACTTAATGATAGTCATAGGGTACAAATAAGCAATCAGGAAACAATATCTATAAATTGTAAGGATACAAGCAACAAAGTTACCGTCATGCAGTCATAAGTGGGAGGAGATGGGTGATAGGAACAATGAGAAGATTAATAGTAATAGTAATGCAGATTTAGTGAATAGTTTGACAGTGTTGAGGGAATTATTTGTTTAGCAGAGTGATGGCATTCGGGAAAAAAACTGTCCTTGTGTCTAGTAGTTCTGGTGTGCAGTGCTCTATAGCGTCGTTTTGAGGGTAGGAGTTGAAACAATTTATGTCCAGGATGCGAAGAGTCTGTAAATATTTTCACAGTTGTGGGTCTCAATCTTTTCTTCACCATGGACCCCCTTTAAATTCCTTTTGTGGCCACGGACCCCCAATATCTAATTCAAGGTTTAAATAATAACATTGATACCCTGTGACGATATCATGGACCACAGGTTGAGCACCACTGTACTACAGTATCTTCAAGAGGCAGATAAATAAGAAACCTCTTCCACAGAAAAGCGCCCAGTATGAAGTAAATAATTCCCTAAACGCAAGAATATATATATTTTTTCTTCAAAAGTACCATTTCCTTGCCTAGGCATAGTCATTTTTTCAAAAAAAAACCCACCAAAGACCCTTACTCCCCCCCCCCATTTAACCAATTCACTAAAGAAAACCTAGCTAATAAATCAATTTTGTCATGATTAATTAATCAAGAGCTCCTGTTGCTCAAACCAAGAGAGGAAAAAAGATTAAAAAACGTGTCCTCTAAGTTTCTGCAGTGTTTAAATCTTCATAAAATCTTCTTTTAATAATAATAATTTACAAAAAAGAACCTGCCCAGAGAAAAAATGGTGGCAAATTCTACTCAGATCAGCACTGGACGCTTCAAAAAGCTAAACCAACCAATCAGGACTGTTGTACAATAGCTTGGGGCCTGTTTGAACGTGTAACTGTATTTGGGGGGGGTGAACTGTACACTTCAGTGAGCGCACTACTGAAGTGGCATCAGCTTTCTGAGCAGTGGTGAAATTCAATTTTTTTTACTACTGGTTCTGTGGGCGTGGCTTGGTGGGCATGGCAGGGGAAGGATACTGCAAAATCCCCATTCCCACCCCACTCTGAGGCCAGCCAGAGGTGATATTTGCCGGTTCTCCAAACTACTCAAAATTTCCGCTACCGGTTCTCCAGAACCTGTCAGAACCTGTTAGATTTCACCCCCGTTTCTGAGGTACTTAAAACTGTGGCTATTCTTTTTATTGGACACGTTTAAAATATTTGCACCCTGCTTTTTTCAAAATGGTTGCCCAAGAATGGTTGCCAATTAAAGGCACACAATACAAAATATAGGCACGCCACAGTAAACTAACGTAGAGCAAAATCACAACAAGCTATATTAACTGGAGGAGAAACTAATTTTTTTAAAAAAAAAACCTCTGACATTGAAAACAGTAAATACCATCCTTTCGAGGTAGGTAAAATGAGGACCCGGATTGTGGGGGCAATAAGCTGACTTTGTATAAAAAAGAACACCGCTTGGCGGGGGGGGTGAAAGCCCTACTAAGCAGGTATATACAAAAAGTATGAAGGCTATTGCTTAACGCATTGTAAGCCGCCCTGAGTCTCCGGAGAAGGGCGGCATATAAATCGAACTAATAATTGAACTAATTTAGACATACAATTTCAGCACAGGGATAGAATCTTTAGTATAAAATGTAGTGCTCATGATCAGGAAACATATTAAGTCTCAGGGAAGTGGTTGCCACCGAGACCCAGGAAAGCCCCATTTTTCTATTGCAGCCTAACCTGTAGCAATATTCTCTCAACCAGAGAATTTCTTCCTAAACCTAAGAATTTGGGAAATTGAAAGTACAGGACATTAAGTTGAAGATAGTGATTTGAGATTCGCAGTTCGGTTACAGTATGACAGCCAGAAGAAATATGTGTCATTCTAAAAGTATAGGTAAGCCTTAGGATCCATTTCTAGACTCCTTACTCAGATGGGTTTCAGGACATGATACTGTTCACCAAAATATTACGGATAGTAAGTTTTTGATGGCTTCATCCTCCAAGGATCTGCCAACTCCATTTGGAAGGTTAACCAAATTCCAATTTGCAATCCCCATTACTTTGTTGTTTTGTCTTTTTTTAAATCACACATCGGAATAATAGAGTAACAGAATAACAGGATTGGAAGGGACCTTGGAGGTCTTCTAGTCCAACCCCTTGCTATACCAGTGATGGCTAACCTTTTCCCGACTGAGTACCCAAAGCATGCACGCATGTGCGACCAAACCCCCAAAACCCCCTGCTCCCCCGCATGTGTGCTCCCTCATTGCATGTGTGCGGGCCCCCCCCACGCGTGAGCAGCAACCCCCAAAATACAATGTATTTGGGCCCCGCAGGCGTGGGGGCCCCCGGCACACCCCCTGCCCCCCCAACATGTGTGCTCCCTCATTGCATGTGTGCGGCCCCCCCACACGTGAACCCTCCCCCATGAATGTGTGCATGCATGCATGAGTGCCCCCCACATGCCCTGCCTCCCACGCATGCACAGCAGAGACCCAATGACCAGTTGGCTGGCAGGAGGCGCATGCAGAGGCACGCGCGCATGCACGGCAGAGCTGAACTGGGGCGACGGCTCGCATGCCCAGAGAGAGGGTGCTGTGGCACGCATGCCACAGGTTTGCCATCACGGTCCTATACCATTCCAGACAAATGACTTTCCAATCACTTCTTCAAAACCTCCAGGGATGGAGCCCTCACAACTTCCGGAGGGTAGCCATTCCACTGATTAATTGTTCTCACTGTCAGGAAATTTCTCCTTAATTCGAATTTGAATCGCTCCTTGATAAGCTTTCCACCCGTTACTTCTTGTCCTGCCCTCAGGTGCTTTGGAGTCTGTCAACCTCCTGTTCTCTCTGAAAGCCACCTCAAATATTGTAAGACTGCTATCATGTAACTCCTAGACCTTCTCTTCATTAGACTAGACATAGCCAGGCCATCGTACAATCCCCTCATCATCTTTGTTGCTCTTCTCTGCACTCTTTCTAGAGCAGGAGTGTTAAACTCAAGGCCCGTGGGGCAGATCTGGAAACAACGAAGGACCGGACCACAGTGCCTCTGCCAGTGAAAACAGAGCTCAGGAGGGCCCATTTTCGATGGCAGAGGGTTGCAGGAGGCCATCGCAGCCGAAAACAGAGCTCGGGAGCCCGTTTTTGCTAGCAGAGCCCTCGGGCCTCCACAGGCGCCCCTGACATTAGTGACCTTGAGCTGGCCATGCCCACCCTGGTCATGTCCAACCCGCCCCCTAGGTTGGGGGTCAAACGATAAACAAGCTGTCAGACTGCAAGTAAGAGAAAGTTGAAGGAAGCACAGGTTGGGAAGGCGGCCAAGAGAAGCCAGCTTCTCCAGTTTTGAAGCTTTTTGGAGAAGGAGAGAGGGAGAGAGGGAAGGGCAGGTCCAAAAACACAAGGTGTTTCCCCTACAGAGTGAGTGAGAGAAGCAGGAACTGCACACACAAATTGCACACCTCCTGCAGATTGATGGAAGAGGAGGTTTATAGC